TTTATTAAAATAAAAAAAAACACTACTTTTTTCAATCACATACAGGAACAAGAAAACAAATTTAAACTCAATGTCGTGTTACTTTCCACCCTATTTTTGAACGAAAACAAAGTTTTTTTCTCTTCCATTCTGAAACAAAGTATTTTTTCCAAGAAATCGTTTGTCCCGTATCAAGTTAAAGTCAACGGTTTGGTAACTTGAAAGGTAAGTACACATGTTTATATGTTTATAATGATGTAAGTTTTAAAATTCCAATGTCAAACAACGGTTTTGACCCAAATTTCACGGTTCATAAACATGTAATATAATAGACTAGGGGAAAACATCACATTTTCAGGTTAAAACTTTTTGGTTAAGATTAATTTAAACATATTTCATTTGCTTAACTATGCAAAAGGGATGAGACACAAGTTAACCAAACTTATAAAGTCTTCTCCAATGTCTTCGAGGTATTTCAGATCATTTCACTTGCTTTTATTGTCGCCGAAATTTTTTCGATAAAGTACGAATTTTTAGTGTTTGAAAATCTGAATCTGCGGAGGAATTAGTTTCTTTCCACCCAATAAAACGAGTAAAAAAATAAAAAAAAGTAACGAATTATTTATTGTTACATATAGTTGTGAGGATCATGACGAGTGTCCTTTAAGCCAAGACCTATATCTGGATATAAAATTCATATGGGCTTTTGACAGTTCATTTACATCCGAAGAAGCAGATTACGTAAATTGAGCATCTCACGGATTTTTAAGAAATTTTGCAAACCACTACTGTACTATGCTGAACATCGTACGAATATTGAAAAACATATAAAGGTAGCTTTTTAACTTTCAAGATAAAGCAAATTGAATATCCTACAAATAAACTGCCTATAAGTGTATAGAATGCACGTTAATATCGCTATATAGAATAATTTGACTTTAAATTAAAGTTTCTGAAAATCCCCAGAATCGTCCTTGACAATATGTTATTGCTAAGGTGAACCATTGCTACTACAATTGTCATTATTCATACAGGGTCACCGAATTTGTTTTAGCTGTATGACTAAAGCAGGGTGTCCAATATCCAATATTTTTACATATTTCACGTATGCGATAATGTAGACAAACATAGTTCGAGGTACATCATGAACTTATATAATTTTATCGACACACTACATATATTATACTGTACGGGGTGAAGTATCCCGGTTAATCCTGCAAGGTGATCTGAGCACTGTGAACAAAAACGAAAATCATAATTATAGTAATATATAATGAAACCAGACCACGCCAGTATGAGAATATTGTTATTCGGGATTAACAGAGTATATATGTGCTCATATTTTTCCGTCAGTGCCTTATTTCCCAAACCTAATTAAAATTCAGATCTATCGTAACTTGCATCGAATATGAGGATAACGAAATCAGAGATCTATATACATTTTAATTAGATTGCCTATATCTCCTCCGACTTAAGGATCACGGGTATTCAAAGCACTAACAAGGAATATGAGTCTATATATTCTGTGAAGTTCCGAAAAAAACATATAAACACTGGCTATTATCCAGAGCAGTGGAACACATCATATTTAATCTTATTATATAAGTCTGGTAACAAACTTGACCCGTCAAATTACGAGGGATTTCATTAATGAATTATATGGCGAAGATTTTCAGTGCCGTCCTTAACAACATACAGCTTGAAATATCGATGTTTGGAGAGGTGGTTTGCTTTACAAGTTATCTGATGTTGGGATAAGGAAGTATTATATAATGGTATTACAAATATCCTTTCTAAAACAGAAATAGCTCTTAAAGTTGATCATAAACATTCTGAATATCTTAAAATACTAAGAAGGACAAAACAACGGGATTCCATAAGCCCCACCCTATTTAATATCTTTACTAATAAATGACCTTAGTCCAAGCTTTAACACTGAGGAGTGCAGACCCGCAAAATTATTAAACTCTTATGTTGGTTCGCTTTCATTTACATATGGCCTTCTTAATATGTCTGAAAGTAAGGACTACAAAATAGTCTTGATAAACTTAACAATTGTTGTGATGAGTGGCAACTACCTTAGCACCTTATATATTATTTACCTTTATGGATTATTTTCTTGTGATCCATAAGGCAAAGGATAGAGTTGCCCAAAGAATGGCGATATTGACCGTCTAAACTTTATTGACAAAACACCCTTTGAAAAAATCCATCTTACTTTTTGTAAATACCTGAGTTCTTGGAACCAAGAAGACCTCATCAAATATAGGTGCGAGATTGGAACTAGGTAGACTTCCAATTGCAAATTATATCTCAACCCAATCTATTTTACATCATGATCTTGCTTCACTAAATATTGATCATTTAAACCAATTTTTGAACGAGGCATTCGAAATTTCAAAATCCCTTGATCTACAAGTTGTATATTCTTCGTATACATATGCTAGGTTTTTCTATTATATATATATATGCTAAGAAAGTCTTACCAGACAATAACCTTAAATATAAAGCGGTCAACTGTAAGAATATTACAGCTGTAAAGCATTGAGATTCAGAAATTAAAAATGAAATGAATGACTATTAAAAAGATTTATATAAAAGTAAAATAGAAAAAAAATGACGAGAGTAGCAAACTTTTTCTGTATAAAAAATAAAACCTTTACTTGAAGCGAATCTTTACCTATTGTTTAATGAGTTTTCTATCAGGAATATGCGAGGTAAACCAGAATATCAGACAAAATTTATTTAATGATACACAATTAGATGATAAACATTTCATTCATTTCCCTGCTGAACAAAAATTATTTTATATTTTAAACCCATCTTCCTTTAGACATGTTAGATTTATTGGCTTCTTTTTTTAAACTGTCACTAGAACTGAGGGCAGAAGCCTCATTGTAACATGGCTTTTGGATATTGTAATATCATAAATCTATCATTTGTGTTTTTTGTATTCTGTTTTGTTATTATTTTGTTGTTTATTGTTTGTTTAAATTTGTATTTCCACAACCATACTGTAAATGTTTAATGTTTAATTGTTTAAAAATTGATTTGATTTGATTATATAATACCGGTACTTAACGTTCCCGTATCTTCCAATTTTAGAAAACATTTAGGAAATATTAGCTAATACAAGATCTTATTCTATATAAAATGTCTATATTCTATAAATAACGCTGAAATTGAGTTGAAATATTTTTTACTTGAAAACATTACATACAGAATATAATTGTAGTATTATACAAAGTGGGTCGGAAACGACATTGCCCTTATATTAAATCGCCTCTCCGTCAAAAGAAAAAAAAGAAGAAAACAAACGATTGTTTTGAAATGGTTTTACAATCTCGGGTGGTGGAGCAGACCTAATATGTAATAAGTGATAGGGATGAGCTGCTGAAACAGGTCACTATAATATCAAGCTTCATGATATGATTGATTGATTGATGTTTAACGCCATTTTCAGTACTATTGTGCTATTTCCTGGCGGTCAGTTTTTATTGGCGGAGGAATCCGGAGTGCCATGAGAGAACCACCGACCTTCGGTAGGAAAACTGGCAATCCTAGTCAATTGAGATTGGAGTCGAGCACACCTGCTCCGTGCGTGATTCGAACTAACAACCTCAGTGTTGACAGGCTAGTGATGCATTAGTTCGACTACTTAGACCACTCGGCCACTAAACCCCTCATGGTATATGATAAGGTCGAGAAGTTGACATGAATTTTTATGTCAAAGTTGCTGGCTGAAGCATAAGTACTCTGAAACTGATCAGATGTCGATTGTTTCACAGTTGCCATTAAACTACTGTCGTAAATGAAAAATAGTTTTGTCAAAACTATTTATCTCACCACGAAATACCGTAATCATGATAGTAATAGGTATAAAACAATTTATGATAGGGTAATCATTTTTGCCATTCATAATATACGAAGAGGGTCCTGAGGTGCTGATGGTCTAAACTGCTCACCCTTCCATAAAAGGACCCCCCCCCCCCCGAGTTACCAAAAAATATCGCCCGAGTCTTTTCTATACCGGCGGCGGATGTGTGTTTCCAGGACTTAATCAACCTTGTCCAAAAATGAGATCACGAATTGTTACAATATGACAAAGTACTATAATTACGATGCGAAGATAAGAAAGTTCAGGCAATGCTATATGTATAAAGATCACAGATAACGATTTCACAATTCTCTAATATTCAAGCATGTTACCTTTAATATTAATTTTTGCTGTATCTTCTATGGGCCATGCCCTTGTTTGCACTCCGGAACTGTGTAAGAATGCGGTTCAAGAACCTCTCAATTGTAAGGGATCCATAATTAAAAATGGAGGATTCTGTGGATGTTACGATGTTTGCGCTAAGGTGAGTTTTTCTTAAACTACAGATGGGGAAAAGGGGGTAGGTTTGAAGCAACGCTGATAGAAAAGCAAGCAAATGTTCCGCAATGTGAATGTCGAATTAACATCGTTCAAATTTAAATAGAAAGTTAACTCACTTGCCACGTGAAAATAATTGGGTACACTTAATACTTCGTACTGGGAACAAGGCTCAATTGAACTGTTTTACAGGAGTCATTTCGTGGCCTTTTATAGCTGACTATGCGATATCATCACTATGGGTTTTACTCATGGTCGAAGGCCGTATGGTGACCTATAGTTGTTAATTTCCGTGTCATTTGGTCTATTGTGGAGAATTGTCTCATTGGCAATAATACCACACCTTACAAAGTTACTTTTATATGATGCATGAAAAATAATCGAGCACATAGAGTTAATATAAACAGCAATACTTGAAAACACTGCATCGGCAACCGAAAACCCAAAAGATTTCCAATGTATTTTCTTAAGAAGTTTAGCAAATCTTATATATTAATAAATTAATTTAACCTTAAGCTTAAATCATGCTTTAGACGATTTTTACCATGTTTACGATTTTGATATCTAGATTTAAGGTGAACACAAGGTGCATCTACTTATTCAATAACTATACTTCTTTGTTTCCCTTGCTGTGTGTTTAAAGCAAGAAGGAGAAGAATGCCAAGCTCATTACTCATTTGGTATAATACCTGCCGGGAAGTGTGACAGTGGTATGGTTTGTACTAGTCCCGTAGAAGCAACAGGACACCCTATGATGATGTTAGGCAGAGGACAGTGTGTGAAGACCGATCAAGCTGATCTACGTACGTAAGGCTACCAATTGGAAACCCTGGAATTGTAGTAAAAATAAGGATATGTGACAATGAGACAGATATCAAACACAGCCAAAATGTCGTAAGCCACTCTGGGTGCCTTTCAGACTTCAAAAATGAACAAAGCCCATACCGTAACAATGTTACTAGAAAAGATCGTAACAACAAAAAGTAATCAAAAGAATTAAAATGCGTTTAAACCTAGTACCAGAAATCATAAATTTGATAAACAACAAGTCAACGATATAATTACCTTTGAAAGTAATTCTTAGTAGTTCCAAAACTATAAAAAAAAAGGTCAGAAAAAGTTGTTGCAATGGTCTTATGGCGCCCTAGACAGTTGAGGGGTTTAGAAAGCCCATATTTCGACTAGATTTTTGCTGCACAGTGTAGTATTCAAGAGATTAATGAAATCTGTATTGGAGTTTTTTCTAATTATTTTTAATAATACGACTGCGAAATAAACGAACATTTAAAGTTTTTAAAAGATATTATCGAAGATGTATTCTAAATTATGCAAAGTCAATCAAGTTTTGATAATATGATATCCCAGACAAGCTAGCTTACACACTCTGGAAATTGGGCTTTGAAAATTTGACTTTGAACTTATAAATCAGCAAACAAAAGGTAAATGCCGTCTTATATTTTACTTCGGAACTTGAAAGAAAATACGATTAATATTTGATTGAATTTGCCGTAAATTGTTTTTAAAATCAATTTAAAAAAAGAAATATATCTCCCTCATGCAAAGCTCTGATTTTATCCAGATCTGGCTATAAGTTAGGTCCAATCGGTTCACCGTGTCAGCATAAGGATTTTGATTTATAAATAATTTGACATGGAGCATCAGCGTAGAGACATTAATTGTCGAAATGCGTATCTAGTGCAGTACACATTTTATCTTTTATGTAATCATACCTTGTTATAATATGTCTGTCATTACAGGTCGTGCAATTCCAGAGACATTGTCGGCATGTCAGCAGATGAGAAGAGTACGTATGATTTCTATGGTAGTTTGGCAGGGATGGTGGATGCCAAAATGTGACGTGAACGGAGACTTTATGGACCAGCAATGTGACAATATGAGTAAGTGGCGCCATCTGGTAAACGTCAGAATGAATTAAATTTTTCTCTGTTCCTTAACAGATATATCGAAAGTCAAATATCCCATAACATGAATTGGCTTCATTTACGTTTTCCTTAAATGTTAGCCTTTTTTTTCTATTCTTCATGTTTGCTAGTACACTCTTTCGAGAACAAATGCACAAGAGTTGAATTTGGCAGTTTATATTTTGGTTTGAATACGATAAATTATAGAAGTAGTGTAAAACGCATTTTAACTTAACAACAACTATCTTACGTTAAGCGTGTATCTGCTATTCCTGTAATGGTACATCATTTAGGTTTAAAACCATGCACATGAGTAGATCAGGAAATTGTATAGGGGCCAAGTTGTTACCAAAATGACCCTTCGGGAATACCTGAGATAACCCATATTTAAATGGGGTTATCTTTGTTCAATATTAGTTTTCCATGTTGTATGTTTTTTTGTAGATTTTCGTTTTTTGCCATGACATTGACAGTTCGTTTTTCACTTATTAGTTTAAATATCCTGTTGAATGGTGTCTTTAACCTTTCTTTATCAAAATATTTCGTTTTTCTTGTATATATATATTGGTATTAAAGTTATTAATACACCATTACACCCTACCCCATACATTATACACTATTCCCCTTTCCCACATAAATGTTACGTATTTCGTTTTGTATTTTCGAAAAGCGAATATTACGAAATCTCTTTTATAAAAAAAAGACGCAAAATTAACCATTCCCTATCACACTGTACACACTTCTTCACCATGAATGCCTATGAAAAACCGCAAACGATGAATTATAATATACATTTAGTAAAACCATTTCCAATCCGTCATAATTAAACAGAAAATGCCTTCATCAAACGCTACCGCTATTCGAACGTAACTATACTGCCAACCAATGCAATACCAACACGGCTTCATCACGCAGTCAGTGGGAGATGACGCCCCCCCTCCCCCTCCCCCCCCCAAAAAAAAATCATGATTTTAGCGTTGTATAATCCATTTTATGGAATTACGGTTAAAAAGACCTGGGTCCGCCACTGGTGGTCGACCTGATATGAAGGTACGTGCCGCTTCAGTGGACGAAGTAGATAACAATAATCATATTGATAATAAATTATGCAATGATAATTATACTGTGAAAGTACTTTAATTCGTGGGCATCAATTTTCGTGGTTTGAAGAAAAGTTACATGTTCGTGGATTCTTAAATTCGTGGATTTCAGATTTTTGAGAGAGAAAAATAATAGTAAAAGTGATAAGAATTATGTAATAATAAACCATTTGATTCCTTTACTCCTTCAACAGAAAGATGCTTCTGTGTTGATTCCAAGACCGGTGATGTCGACAAGACAACATATACAACACTTGGAGCTGCAAACTGTGCTGTCAGCAAACGAGACAAAACAATGACAAAATGTCAACAAAAATATGCTTCAATGCAGTTCAGTTTTGCCATCTGGCAAGGCATGTGGTATCCCAAGTGTGACACCGTGGGTAATTTTGAACCGGAACAGTGTGATAACACAGGTAAGTTTTGATTAAGATGAACTCATTTACAAGTTTGTGAATAAATAGGTGGAGTTAATGAACACTCCAATAAACTTCTTAAATATAACCTACATAATAAACCTATTTAGCGCACGGAGATAACTAACCATAACGTAATTTGTTTTATTATTTTATTTTGTGTTGGTGTTTCACATGCTATAAATATATAGTGTAATGGCAATACAGATTTGAATTGAATTGAATTATTATTCTGAAAAGAATGAGTGTAATATAAAATTAAAAGTAACTGTACAGATTTGTATCTGTATAATATGCGTCATTTTATGGGCCGTAAGAAAAACGCCTTATAAAAATGTACAAAAATTTATTTTTTTAAATTAATATTATGTAAGTTTATTCACATATATTTATACTACTAATATAGTACTAAAGGAAGCGACCTATTTCATTGAGCTGCATCTCCTCTGAAACCATGCGAAGTCGGAAATATTTGTGATAAGACGTATAAATGTAGTGTTTTGTACTTCCTAAATTTGTCTTTGAAACAATCTTTTTTCCACAGAAAACGCCAATTTTTGAGAAAATAACCCAATTCGGAGACTGTTATCGCCGATCCGTGTCTTATACGCTTTCGCGCATGCTCAGTCGACGTACTGCCCGCGAAATTTGAAAACCCTTAATTTGTTTCAACACTTGCCCAATTATACCGCGATTAAGCGGGCATCTTCTTGTGTTTTAAACGGTTATTAATGAGAACTTTATGGTATATAGATTAAAAAAAAAAAACAACAACATTAGAACGTATCGAGTTACGTTATTGTGTATATAACAATATAAATCGATCTTATCATCAACTATTATTAAAGTACAATATAGGAGACGGTTATCGGAAAAAGATTTATAAAGGTATTTTTAGACCCGGCTTAAAGTATTATATATTTATTATTCTGTTTACAGGAAAATGCTTTTGTGTTAGTGCAGTTGATGGAGTTGTGGACGAATCTACCAAAGTACTTGGCAGCGCTGACTGCTCCAGTAAGAAAAGACAGACAGTGAAAAGGACAAAATGTCAACAAAAATATGCTTCAATGCAGTTCAGTTTTGCCATCTGGCAAGGCATGTGGTATCCAAAGTGTGATACCGTGGGTAATTTTGAACCGGAACAGTGTGATAACACAGGTTAGTTTTGATTTACGGATGAACTCATTTACAAGTTTGTGAGTGAATAGGTGGAGTTAATGAACACTCCACTGATAAACTCCTTAAATATAACCTACATAATAAACACCTATTGACAAAATGTCAACAAATGAAAGAAATCAGAATGATTTCATTTGTGATATGGAAAGGAATGAGGACACCAAAATGTGACGCTCTTGGCAATTTTATGCCAGAACAATGTGACAATACCGGTAGGTTGTTTCAAAAATCTCTGAACCTGGACATTCAAATCTATGTATGCGCATGATCAGCTGTATAATGAGATTTAAAGTAACCTAAAAAAAAATCACACAACACAATATTATAATGATTCTAAAAGACACAAAATAAGGGGAAGTCCATTTGTTGTGCTGAATGGATGGTATTGGTTTGCATGGTTTTTACTAGCTTTAAAGGACAATATACAATATGTATTTATTCGTAACATCAGAACATTTATCAAAATGTCCAATTTTGATCCAATTATCAGATAATGGACTTTCAAAGGCATTTTTAGACGCGGTTTAAATAAGTATTTATCATTCTGTTTACAGGAAAATGCTTTTGTGTAAGTGCAGTTGAGGGAGTTGTTGATGAATCTACCAAAGTACTTGGCAGCGCTGAATGTTCTAGTAAGAAAAGACAAACATTGAAAAAGACAAAATGCCAACAGATGAGAGACATACGAATGATTTCATTTGTGGTATGGAAGGGGATGTGGACACCAAAATGTGATGCTCTTGGAAATTTTATGCCTGAACAGTGTGACAATACCCGTGAGTGGTTTTAAAACATTCAATATCAATATTAGCATAATAATCAACTCCTGAAATAGCATTTGTCTTCTTGAAATAACGAAAGTCTGTATGCAAATTGGGAGCTATATATATATGTAAACCTCAGATCTGTGTACGGCCTCAAATCTGTGTCCGTTTCGCCAATCTGTGCCCCATCGTGACGTCAATCGCTAATCTATGTCCGTTAAAAAAGATACGGCCTCAAATCTGTGTCCTATTTTCAAATTTGTTTTCAATCGTGACGTCATTCGCAAATCTATGTTCGTTTAAAAGATACGGCCTCAAATCTGTGTTCTTTTCTTAAATCTTTTTCCAGTTTGTTTCGCCATGCGTAAATCTATGCCAGTCTGATAAGTACGGCCTGAAAGGATTTTTGTTTTATTAAGTCATTTCCCATAATTCAATGTTAAGTTGGGATGTGTTCTCCATGTGTGTGCTTAAAAATTTTACATGCGTGTGTAATTATTGTATGATTTACATTTTATTGTAAAACTACAACATTTTCAAATTGTTTGCTTTTCTTGATCCCTTGTTTAATTGTTCTGTAGTAATTATCGTTACTTCCCTTTACTCATTACGTCTTGATAACAAATACGAAATATAAGTTATTAAACAACCTGAGACAAAATGACATCTGTATACAAGCAACTAAAGATACATGTATGGCCTTCAACAATGAATTGAACCTATTCTGTATCGTAATCTGTAAACACATACACCTATTTGTTCAATGTTTCAATGTATAGGTACCACATAAAAATGTTTAGGGTATAATCCATTGCCGGTTTAACAACAACATTTTGTGCCACTATCTTATTAAAAAAGGTTTTTTTCTGGTGAAACTATTCCGGTTTCGAATCTGTATTTTTTAAAATCCATTGTGTACCATGACATCAACATTTAACAACCACAACATAATTCTGTGTACAAATTATTATACATGTTACTTTATTTATGTGCCTTCAAGAATGAAACTACACATATTTTTTTACTTGATTACGTCTTGCTATGTCTTACGTCACCACATTTCGATAAAGGACATAAGATTTAATTGTGACAAAAATGGCCATAGATTTGAGTTAATAAAGGACATAGATTTGAGACAATAAAGGACATAAATTTGGAACGTCTATGACGCAATATTAAAATGACATAGATTTGCGGAAAATACATAGATTTGAGGCTGGACATAGATTTGAGGCTTACATATATAATCAGAAATAAGTGATATCAAACAAATAAAAAACCATGCAAATATTTATCAACCGAAAACCCGCATTTTCTACCCCATCCCCCAAATATTAGTAGCAAGAACAAAAACAAAAACATCAACAAACCACACATCTCCCACAATAATCTTCATCAACATCACATAACGCAATACTACAAGTATTACAAAACAGTCACATACAAAGCAAACCGTAATCAAGCAAAGATAGTTAACCAAAAACCAAAGCTTTCGGTCAACTTCCAATACCAAAGAAGTTTCTTTAAAAACACTTTGGTAATATAACATCGGAGACTCGCAGATAATCGATAGCTATAATGCCTCAGTCATGTATCTACAAGTATCGAATCTAAATAAACAGAAACCCAAAAGTTAAACTTGATTGAAAAAAATAGGGTAGCACGGTTTTCACCCGTTATGTTTTTTCTAAAAGACACGCGATACGATTGAAGACGCCAATTTTGATGAGCTATATGCATAATATACAATATACATTTGCATGGAACCCACTCAGCATTTTAAAGAATCCTTGCAATAATCTTCAAAGGCTTCAAATTAACCTTTGCGAGAAATTTTTCAGTGCCTAACTATATCAGTCTAACTTTCCCGCTTATCATTCCGTTAAAATCATTTGTATTGTTTAGCTAAGTTTCGTTCTGAATACCATGGAATATATCCTACTTGACGCCCATCAAACAACAATCAATTATATTCGTTCATTGAATTTGTCGCTCTGTAGCTTTGTAAACGTTGTTTTAAGGAAAATTCGATACCAAAAGTTGATAAGAAATTATATAAGTAAAGTCGATTGTTTATGTTGTGTTATAATCAATGCGTAACGTGACCCAGTTGAAATATAAACCATTTAAATTTTACTGGATAAAATTAAAAATTCAAAACCACACCATTCTTAACCCTACACCGATAACAGTTGATATCCAATAAACCATTTTTTTTTTCATTTTAGAGCACTGTTTCTGTGTGGATGCCGTTGCTGGAAGTGTAGACGAATCCACTAAAGTACTTGGCATTGCTGATTGTTCTCAGAGTGTTAACTCGTTCACACAACAATAAATCTTAATTATATAAATACCGTACATCTTTTCGTATAGATAAGAAGATGTGGTGTGATTTCCAATCAGACAAATATCCACCAAGGTTCAAAAGAAGTGGATGTAAGCAAATATAGGCAACCGTACAGCCTTCCACAATGAGAAAAAAATACTAGAAAATTGTCTATAAAAGTCCCTGACATAAAAATTGTAAAACGAAAAAAATTACGGCTTATTTTTGTTAACTTTCAAAACACTGATTGTATCAGAATGCCAATTTCTTATATTTATCTTAATCATTATACATGCATATTGATGATAATTTGTTGAGAGTTATCAAGTATTTCAATGATTATTTTATGGATCTTTCAAACGTTATTTATTAGGAGAGGTGCGCAGTTTTTACAGACATTATAATGAAAAGATAAAAAAATATGACCAATTCACATATCAATGATCACCAATTGATTTATGTTATAATATCTAAGAAACGAACAAACCATGAATCATTTAAAGAGAGGCAAAGGATACCAAAGTCAATTTCAAACTCACAAGTCGAAAATAAACTGACAACGACATGGCTAAAAAAGAAAAAAATAAACAGACAAACACAAGTTCACAAAACAACATAGAAAACCAAAGACTGAGCAATACGAACCAAATGACAATAAGGTCAATATTAGACGAACCCTGTCAGACGGAAACGCACAATTTACAGTAATTCAATATACAATTCAGATATAGTTGACCAATGCAAGACAGTATATGAGAAACGGACCTACGATAGCCTATCCACTTTATTGGATGGCTGTCTCATTGGTACTCATAACACATCTTCTCATTTTTATACGTCTGTCGAAGCTACATATTATGGTAACACATATTATGGTATTCCAATATCCGTACTTCCGTCCATCCATTCGTTTGTCAACACTTTGTACAATAAATCAAATTAACTTTAACCAATTCTCATAACTTATCACACTATTAGAATGCACGAAAGAAAGCTCCGTTCGATTTATTTTTAACCGGAATTTCGAAGAGAATATTGATCGGTTATTGACTTGGGGAATTACGTCGGGTGGGCGGGCGAGTTTCAAGCGGGCAGGCGGGCGTTAGCCAAATGTTGTCCGTGCATTTACTCATGAACCGTTCAACCAAAGCTTTTACAATTTTAATGTGTTGTTACTGACAACAAAATGGAGGTGAAGTTCAATAATGACGATTTTGACTTTTACCGTTCAGGAGTTATGGTTCTTGAAAAATTGAAAAATGGCGTTTCCAGTCGTGTCCGTGCATTTACTCATGAACCGTTCAATCAAAGCTTTTAAAATTTAAATATGTTGTTACTGATGACAAAATGGAGGTCAAGTTCAATAATGGCGATTTTCACTTTTCCTGTTCAGGAGTTATGGTTCTTGAAAGATTTTAAAAATGGCATTTTACAGTCATGTCGTTGCATTTACTCATGAACCATTCAACCAAAGCTTTTCAAATTTTGAAATGTTGTATTCAATCACAATTCAAATTCAGAGCTGTTTTAAGCTTAAATGTTGTGTCTATACTTTCTCAACTGTTCAGGGTTTCACCTCTGCAGGAAAATCCGGTTTGCTGTCTCTCTGACAGCCTCTTGTTTAGTTTTTGCTATAGGGACCGTGCAATATTTATCAGGCAGGTGGGACCGGTGCAAATTCTGATTATGACAAAAAAAAAAAAAAAAAAATTCAGTTCGGACTAATTTCAGATAGTCACTTTTAAAAATTTCTATAAATTTTCAAATCAGCTCGGTTTTTCATATTACTCTATAAAAATCTCAATTGTATTTTGACCTTATAGAATACCAGGTTGTTTGGTAGTTTTGTGTATTGCTGTCATATTTATGGATTAATTAATAGGTGAAAAAAAAGCTAAAATGTTCAGTTTAAGTTGATTTAAGATAGTCACCTTTAATTGTTTTTATAACATTTCAAATCAACTTGGATTTTCATATAACGCTATCTCATTTATATATTGATCTTACAGAATGCCAGTTTGTTTGGTTGTTTGATGTATTGCTGTCATTTTTTATGGATTTAATCAATAAGTAAAAAAAACTAAAATTTTCAGTTTAGGCTAAATTCAGAGTCACCTTTAAATTTTTTTATAACTTTTTCAAATCAACTAGGATTTTCATATAACTCTACAGCTATCTCATTTATATATTGGTCTTACAGAATGCCATGTTGTTTGATAGTTTGGTGTATTGCTGTTATTTTTATGAATTTAATTAATAGGTTAAAAAAAGCTAAAATTGTCAGTTTAGGCTAAATTCAGATAGTTACCTTTAAATTTGTTTATAACTTTTTCAAATCAACTTGGATTTTCATATAACTCTACAGCTATCTCATTTATATATTGGTCTTACAGAATGCCCTGGGTTGTTTGATAGTTTGGTGTATTGCTGTTATTTTTATGAATTTAATTAATAGGTTAAAAAAAGCTAAAATTGTCAGTTTAGGCTAAATTCAGATAGTTACCTTTAAAAATTTTTATAACTTTTTCATATCAACTTGGATTTTCATATAACTCCACAGCTATATAATTTATATATTGGTCTTACAGAATGCGAGGTTTGTTTTGCAGTTTGTGTTTTGCTGTCAAATTTATGGATTCAATTAATAGGTAAAAAAAGCTATAATTTTCAGGAAAGGCTTAAATCAGATAGTCATCTTTAAAAATAGGTATAAAGTTTCAAATCAACTAGGATTTTCATAAAACTCTACAGCTATCTTAATTTTGTTTAATATTTATATATTTATTTATTTTTTATTGATTTCCATTCTGTCTGTTTAAAAAATGTATTTACTAGTATATCTATTTCTTATTTTTGATTTGTTTAAACATTAATTACTGACATGGAGAAATAACGGAACGTAAACATGCATCCATGACTGAAAGTTTAATATATATATATATCTAATTACTTTTATCTGAAATACAAGTTACATGGAAATTCTAGCAAACTGTCTTTGTTCTTTTTTCACAGTTTAATCCGATGTTGTGATGTTACACTCCTGAAATCGGAGAGGATTGAACGCTCATTCACATGTTTACAACTTCCACAATTAATGTGCCTGTTTTCTAGTTAAGAGCCTTTTATTCAGTAGTTGTCGATGGTCATATCTGTCATACTTGTTTAACTTTAGTTTTTTCATTAATCAAGGCCGTTTGTTTTTCCTATGAAATGTTTCTATTGTGTCATGTCGCGAACATTTATTGCTGACTAAACGGTATGCGATATGCCGCTACCTTTATTTGCTTACATCAACAACATTTTGACTATGGTTGTTAGTTTTCTATTGACACATCTCCTTATTTCTTTTTATATTACGAATCATTAACGTTGAAAAGTATTCCAGAGAAAATAAGAAAACCACGAAGATGAGGTGAATGACAATGAATTAAAGTTGACATAGGCTTTCGAACATGACTCATCTGTATTGTTTATAGGTTCGAAGTTGATAACTCGCCAAAAATAATGCAGCCTCGGCAAAAATTAATGATATTGATAGTTGAGATATGTATACATTAAGTATATAATCTAGTCCAATCGGTTTGCTCTTTGGTGTGTGCTATCTCCAGTTTAAATATCAAACCTATAAAATGTACGATACAAGTACGTATTTCCACGCACACGACACGACACGTCTTATTGGAATTCTCAATTTAACTTCATTCTCTGGGTAGAATGCCACACGCGGAGAGTTGACTGTGTACAGGAAGGGTTAACGGCTTCGAATCGAAAAACAAAACGATTTCAAACACTAAATTTTATAGATAGAGGATTGCTGCTCACAAGGAAGCTATTAAACCAAGAGTTCCAAATGGTGAAGTTGAAATCATCCCTTCGTAAATTTTACGGACGCCATCACGAGTTGGTTGACCGTTATGGAATAACCGTTTCACAGATGATATCGGATATGTTCCTTATGTCGTAACTACAATACCCTTCTCTTTTCACGAATGTGACCTACCGAATTAGACTATTTACTGGATTTGTAATAACATAAGCAACACGACGGGTGCCACATGTGGAGCAGGATCTGCGTACCCTTCCAGAGCACCTGAGATCACCCCCAGTTTTATAGATTTCATAGATTTTGAGACGCGCTTATGTGCCGCAGGAAATGATGCATATGCAATTATTTTCCTTGTGTAATTGTCTACAATAAATATTATTTTCAATTATTATCTAGCTGTATATAGTCCAGAAACACTTATATCTCGCCACAATTTAATGTATGATGCCGTTATGAAATGTATAGTTTTTAAGGCTGTGATGTTCGCTTTCAATATTATGAATGTGAAGAAAATGATACAGTCTTCCTCTACCGGTTTTCTGATATGTCTTTCAATCTAAAATATGATCGGGAATACCCTGTATCAAAACTGAACCGTAACAAAGATCGCTCTTTCTTTGTAATTTTAAATTTGATATGACATTCTTATCCACATTTCCTTTGAAGGGTTACACAAGATTGTAGCTGCTGTTTTTATAATCACGAATTGTTTAAATATACCACAATAAGTATACTTGATTTGGTAAAAAGTATCTTAAACAATAAACTGTTATCACAGAGATATGTCTCGCCTTTTTGTAATTTTGATATGTTACATAAGTTATGCAAATACTCAAAGTCAATGAACCATGACTGAGGTACATGGCTAAACAATCTCCATGTAAATGAGATGTAAAAATGCTAATACAACTGCATACCAAATACCATTGACTTATGATAAGTCGTTCCCTTTAAACAAACCTAAACACAAACATTAACTTGTTAACTATGTAAAAGTTTCAAAGTCATTGTGACGAACATTCGTTTTGCTGAATAGACTAATTCGCTTTTAAATCAATTTAAAGTCACAAAAGACTATTTTGTTTTCAATAAATATTTGCTAGTTGCTATGTGTGAATATAGATTTGTCTTTTTAAAATCTGAATTCAAGCAAATGGTTGGATGATATGAAATCTGATTTTAA